AAAAATCAAAATAAAATTTATGATATATAATAGCTAATTTAAAATTTATGAAACATCATACTTTTAACATGAATCAAATTTTAAGAATAAATTAATCAGAAAATTTAATTAAAATGGCCAATTATGTTAAAATCAACACATTTATTATTAAGGCTTTAGTAAAATTAACTAATTTAAAATAATATCATAGACTTTTTATAGATATAATAATCATGAGCTTGGATTATGTAATTCTATAAATTTTATTTAAATGCCTTATACTTTTGTGTTATTTCTCTATTATGCTAATAGGGAAGCTCATTAATAGTGTTTAATTTTTTTTCTTTGTTTTACAAAAGTTTTATAGATTAAAAAATCATACTAATGAGTAAATAATGAAGTCTGTACCCCTTAATAATAGTAAGGCTCCTTGTCCAGTATTGCTTTCTCACAAAATAAACTAAGAGTAATACAATAATGATTAATTATTAATTTAATAACATATTTTCTTGCGGCAATCACTGATCAATTTACTTTTTAAATTGTTTTTTTAATCTAAAAGAGATCCGTGTTTAGTATATCCATTTTAAATCTTAATACTCTTTAAATTTTGTTTTAGAATACTCATTTGTTTGACTCATCAAAAATTTTTTACTTACTTTTAGAAAATGCTCTGAATCATTTTAATAATGCACAAATTGATTTTATGAAGTCACATTTTGAATCAAACCTTAAAAGGATATTTATTTTACATTTACTGCACATTTGGCGCTTATTTTCTAATTCTGCAGTATTATTAGAAGGAAGACATAATTTTTGTTCTAGGATCTTTACGAAATAGAATTGATTCAAATAGCAGATTAATTAACATATACTTTTTCATAAGATTACAGCAATTTTTTCAAATATTTTTAATTAGATTAATTCTTAATGTTATTATATTAAGTTAAATTTTTGTTTCATCTCTTTAAATTTAATTATCACCCTCTATGTATTTTATTTTCTCTTATTGTTTCCTTATATTTTAATCATTTTTGTTAGTGCATTTTAAGCTAACTAAATATACTTAGATTATGTTACTTTTTAAATAACTTTTGTAGATTTTTAAATAAAGTTAAAAATTTCTAAATTACTTTAATACAAAAGATCATCTGAATATATATTTCAAGGAATGAAATAAATCATTGTTATTAATGAATAACATTTTTGTGGTAATTTCTATTGTCAATTTATTGTTTTTAATTTAGACCAAATTTTTTTAATCATCTTTATGTTAATTTCCACAACCAATTAAATAATTTTATTTGATGAATTTAAAAAAAAATTAATGTTTAATTAAATTTTGGAAAATCTTATAAAAATGAAATAATAAGTTAACTTTACACATTTCTTTATAATTATATAGCAAATAATATCATTAATTAATATTAATATCTCAAATTAATTAAATTCATTTAATAAAAACCTTATGAAAGAATAGAATTATAATTGTATCAAATACTTTATTTAATATACAGAAATATGTAACCAATAATTCTAAATTATTATCTCTAATATTTATTTCTTATTCATATATACATTATATTTTCTAAACTGAATTTCTTTAGAATTCTAATCCCAAATTATTAAATACTAAGCATCATCACTCATACATCCAAATATATAATGACTTCCAAATCCAATGGATTATTCAGTCTTAAACTCACCATTTAATTTTGTTCTTATCAAATTCACATACTTGCCATTCTTATTTACAAGCAGGCAATTTGATAAGCTATTAAGGAAAGACAAAGTAATCATCAATTCCACCTTTAACAAGTATACCTTTTGTCTTTAAATACTATTTATTAGTATTATTCATTTCATAAACATGCATTTATTCTATCCCATATGGTTAAAAAGTGAATAGATTATCATTTATAAAGCATATTCTATACCCATGTTATTCAACCTTTATCTTTTAGATTATAATCCATTTAGAATCCTATTATGATTGTTCTATTATTAATATTTATTCATCTTATCCACATGAAATCACTTTATTCAATTATTAATTCAAACTTAATCCACATACCATATTATTATGATCTTTGATAGTTTATTGACATAGCCATTAATACTACTTGTTCCAAAATTCAATAGTATGATCATAACTACCTGAAATGATCAAATCTTCATTATTATTCAACACTAAACACGATATCTCATTATTATGTCCATTTAATTTCTATTAGAAAATCCATTAATTGCTTTAATTCATAGACCATATTATAATTGATTTATCACTTCCTGATATAAAGTGATTAGATTTATTCATAAAGTTTAAGTGGTTACATCATTTGAATGTTCAGTTAGAAGTTGAGTTTGTTTCAACACTTTTTATTTGAATTCAAATACTTGAATTTCTTTTCTACATCCAACTATTACAATCGAATAATCTTTATTAATAGTTATTGCATAGCACTAAAGTTATTTAATTGAATTATTATATATTAATTTATAAGTGAATGGTTTTAGTATTAATTTAGGAGATGATTGAAAAATTGTTTATTAAGTTTAAATTTACTTAGGCTATTGAATTTATAATTTCTCAGATTATAATTATTAATCTTTAGCTTAAATTGTTTCTTCAAATGATTATCTTTGAATCTTCTCTCATTAGTTTGATTGAATTATTTCTGGAATTCTTGATTTAGAAATTCTTCTTTCTTTTTTACTTGATTTTCAATAGAAACCTTGATTAAAGATGTTACTTAATGGATCAATTAATTCTTAAATTATTAATTGTATATTTGGTTATGATAATTAATGTAATGAACTATTTGATTAAGTATCTCTTGATTACTATTATTGTTGTTGTTATTGTAATCTATAATTAAACAACTATTCAATATCATCCATAGTTTAGTCAAGTAAAACATCAATTCTATTAAATGAAGACTAAATGAATGAATAAATCTTTAATACTTATAAATGTTCCTCTAGTTAGGAACAGCAAGTTTCAAATTTAGCCTAATATTCCTTCTTAGGTTTTATTCGTTGATTTCAAAGTTTCTATATTGTTATTAAACTATTCTTATTTAAAGCACTTTTTATGTTTTGTAAATTTTATAAATTCAAAATTAAAAATAAAAATTATTTTACTCACTTTATTTAGAAATCATTTACTTTCTTTTTATATTATACACTCTTAGAATTTGGTTATGTAGTTATGAAATAATATTAATTGAATCACAACTGAGTTCAATTTTTATCAGTGTGTCAGCCTGTTTACCAAAGGGTGTAAATCCCACTCCCGTAGCTGTACATGAGGTATCGAGCATACCCACTCTCTCAGGGCCCTCTCAAAACCTCGATTCCGAGTTCAGATTGTTGATCCTCCCTTCGCCTACTGACTGCCGTCCTACCCTCGAAAGAAACCCTATATTACCAGAACCTGCATTGGGAAGCTATTTGGGCTCCTTCCTCTATGGGCTTACGGGTCTAACCCTTTTTTGCTGCTAAAGGTTAGCCTAAGTGGGTCTTTTTTTCAAAGACTAGATCATGGAAGCGCTTAATTTGTAATTTTTTGAAAGAATATTTATCAGGTATATGTTATTTTGATTAAACCAAATTGAGAATTTTGGTTTAATTAAAAAATATAATACGTTTTTAATAAATCTAGTTTATCATGAAAAATTAATATACATAAATTAGACATTTTTAATATCATTAAAATTCAGTTGTTATTTTTTCATAATTCGATTAATCTTCTACGTATACACAATTTATGATAAAAATTAAGAACTTCAGAATTTAGGATCTTAAAATTGTAACAAATACTTTATATATTTTATGGAAATAATATTTTTATTTAACAAATAATTATGATAATGAGTAATTTTTGGTTTTTTTTTTTAAATATTTATACTAATTGAATTATGTAATGGTACAAAAAGATTAGATAAAAATAATAATAGATAACCTACAAATTAATCTATATATTGATAAACATGCTAGCTTATTAAAGGTTTATTTTTACTATAATCCCTGAACTTTGCTGAAAGAAAAGTGTAGGAAATCCATGTTTATGTTTTAATGGAATTTGTTATGATAATGACAGATATAACTTCTTAAACTAAACATTTACTAAGCATCCTCTGAATAATGTGTTCCAAAAAATTCAACCTGTTTTTTCATAAGCAATTAGTATAAATGATACTAAGTGCGGGTGGTTACCAAAAAGTAAATGCTAAGATTAAACAACATACAGTGATGCAAATGGCGCCAACTTATCAACATGTACTAGTTGGGGTTCCACTTTTGTTTCAGATGGAAAAAATGTCTTGATAAAGGACCTTGGTCTTTCATATCTAATCCCTTCAGGTTATGTTAATGAAGGTACTGATCGATGTTATTAATGGACTGGAACATCATGTATATTGAGAGAATTTTCAGATAAAGTTGCTACTTCTGACACTGAATGTTTAAGTTATATTTTTACGAGTGTACTCTGCATAACTGATGAAGGTAAGTGCGTTCCTAGATCTACATTTGTTTTTTACCAAAGTGAGCAAATTTTACAACTTGATAAGATGGAATATTAAAATTGAATTGACTATTTTTGGAATCATTGTTTGATTTTTACACATAAATTTATATTTGAAAAATTAAGATATTTTTATTATAAATTCTTATTCAATCATATTATTTTAATTTTTAAGATGAAATAATATATTATTTGAAATAGCACATTATTATTACAGTGAGTTTCAGAATAGTCTAAATTTTTGTTAATGAATTTAATCTTAGTCTAGGATTTTATTACTGTTTAGTCAATGAAATTAAGTATCAAATTCAAGTTTTAGTTAATATCCATGAACTGATTGTTCTTAATGATTCTTATTAATATTAATTTCAGCTGACCATTATCTTATCTAAAATAATACATTTCGATCAGATTCAGTAACTCTAAATATGATAATCAAGTAGAAACAAATATCAAGTAATAGAGGATTAAATGAAAGATGATAATTTTATATATTATTTACAATAGATTATTCTGATACAATTCATTGATAAGCGAATTTGAAGTGTATGTCATTTATATCATCAAAAGTAAATTAAGAAGAAACTTCGGAGTAGTATTCATGGCTTGAATAATTCATATATTTACCTTAAATTGATTGCTTTAAGGCTAAAATACATTTTTAAATACCTTTGTTATTGAAGCTATCAAATAATATATGTAAATTCTAATCAATATTTATGGAATGATTAAATTAATTGATAATAGTAATATTATTATAATTAACTTGGAATATCAAAATAATAATCTTAACAAATATTTAAGTTTTTATCCCCAATAAACAACCAAATATTTGATGTGGATTGTGGTTCAATTCACTGTCCAACACTATATCATATTTGTTGAAGATTGTTAGTAATAACTTTAAGATATTACTAAATCGTAATATATTTTACAGAAAATTATTTTATCATTTTAAGAAGCACGCAAATAAGTGGGATTACTTTATGCATTTTTAGAACATACAAAATTCAATCAAATATTTTTTACATTTCTATTGTAAATAATATTATTTGAAGGAGATTTAGGAATTATTATCTAATTCTTAATATGAAAAAAATTACAAAATTATTTATAAAAACACATAGAAATAAATATTCTATTTGAAAATTATTGATAGACAATTAATTATACAATTATTGTTAGATTTTTTTTATTTTATTACTTTCCATCACAATATGCTTTATGTTATTTCATTTTTAGACTTATGTTTATTTAATAAGTTATATTCCATTTAAAAATTGTTGGTTTAGTGATTATATAATTATTAATAGTTACCATAATTGGAAAGTAAAAGAAAGTTGTTAAGATTATTATGAAACTTCATTTATCTTCATACCTTAAAGTGAGTATAACAATTTTATTCAATTATATGTGATAATAATTGAAATTAAAAAATTATAATAATTTTAATAATATTATAATCCAGTTTATTTCATTTGTAGATTTTATTAAATTAGTTTTACAAATGCAAATAAATTTGAATTCAATATCAAATATATATTTATGGAAAGAATAATAAATTTTAATACTTAATATATATGATATTCAATTCTTATATAATAATTTTTTATCTTTTTGGGTTGAGGGTGAAGGCTTGAGTGATTCGGTCTGAAATGAATCAAACGCTAATGCTATTAGGGAAATCCCCTTCTAATCAAAAGAGGAGAAGAAATAGTCCGAAGGGCAAGGAATTGATCCCGTATCCAAAGTGTTGGACCAAGTATTTCTTACATTTGATCCAATTTATCTCTCCACTTATAAGAAGGCAAGTTTGAAACAGAGAAGACCGCATTTGAAAGAATGAATTAATATTTATTCCATATATTTGCCCTCTTTATACAAAATTAGTAAATATATTTCTTAAATAGAATCAGATAAATATTGTAGATTTGTAATTATCTTGAATTACCTATCATTTAATATTTTGATCAAATGTTAAATTTGTGCTTAATTCCAGATTAAAATCTTTATCATCTTTAATTAATTTTTTATTTTATTTTTCAGATTTTCTTGATATATATTGATCAGTAGCTCAAATACTGTAACGAAATTCTTTCTTATTTATCTATTGTCATCAGAATAAATTATTATAAATTATTATTAATCTCCATATTGATAATTTATTGTTGGATTACTGATTATTTTAAAATAACTGTTGCATTAATTTCAATTAATTTCATTCAATAGATTTATAAATTAATCAAGCAATGACATTAACGATAAATCCAAACTACAATTTTATTTAATGATCTTTATCCAAATTATCATTAATATATCATTACAACATGTAACTAATTTATCTTCAGATTGATCAAAGCATAAAAAAGAATATAATTGTATTTTTGTCTATTGATATCTCTTATTAAATCTAACCAAATAAAAATTATTTAAAGCCAATAAATGAATATCACAAATCTCATTTTAATCTTAGAAATTAAAAAATAATTTACTGTACCTTTTTGAATTTCTTGCAATAATATAATTATTTTT